CGGTGGTTAAACACCACTTGGAGACGCTAGACACAAGGATGATTAATGGTGGCTCGTCGCGAAGGAGGGATGGCGGGTATTTCTGTCGTTTGCTCCGAGTGGACAAGGGAGAGATATACGCGATCCGGGGTCAATAAAGAGGGATCATTTTGCGGAACCTGGGGGGGGGACAAGGAACATCAACATCGATCTTGGCTTTTCATCAGCTCTGAGATTATACATCACATCGTGTTTTCCAAGAAATCAGCGTCATAAAAATTGAAATGTAGAAGACGGTTGAGACTATGGCTAACGGCTGCCCCCTGCTGTCAGCGTGTGAACGCGCATTTTGCTACCGGAGAAGACTAAGACGTAGCTCTAGCCGCCAGATTCGGCCCCAGCCTGTTTATGCTCTGAAGGAGTAGGCGCTCCCGTTATGCATGTTTCCCCGGATGGAAAGACAAAGCTCTCCTAGGTTAATTTTCGCAGGCGTCATGGCTGAAAAAAATTGTCTCGTCTTTCAGATTTAGGCCAACCTAAATAAAAAACCTAGGCCTATTTACGTCAAGCCGCGCAGAGGAACTTGTAGACATAATGAATTATTGGAAATGTATCTTGGGGAATAATATTAACATTTGCAAACAGCAAGATGTAATTAGCCGCTAGGAGATGCAAAGCTCCTATCGTAACGCTATGTTGTAATTGCCTAAAGAACTATCCGAGGTTTCTAGTCATATCATGCCTGGTTTTGGCACATGAGAATACCAATCTGATTTGACTTAAAAACGTTTTAATTGAGCGGTTAATCGAATGTGCTTATTGTAACTATATCGAAGGTCCTTATGAAAAGAAATGATTAGTATAAAGATAAGACATTCCCGTGTATCATTCTCACTCCGAGCCCGACAGGTCTAAAGAATTCCCAATGAAGTTTCTGTACACATTCAGGGTTTATCTTTGACTGTGAAATGGCAAACTAATTACGTTCCAGTCCATGCTTGCTTTTTGTGTAAAGCAGAACACATCTATATTAATGAATACCCACAGACATCCAAACCTAAACGTCGTTAATTTTTAACAACTTAGCTCAAGACTCCAGCATAATAATTTTGATAACTTTGTGGAGTGTTATGGATGGATTCGAACACTAGAATGAATCTGGTTTCCTAAATGAAGCCAAAGCCGAACGAAAAAAGGTTTGGAAACTTTGGTTTTTCTGCACTTTATCAGGTGAACTCATCACGATCCGCCAGCTAGCCATGTGAAGAGTTCAGTCAGATTCAACAATCTGTGTCTTTTTACAGGGGGAAGAACATCACTGCACAATCAGGCAATAGCTGAAATGCCTGTAGGGATTCGCACAAGAGCTGCCATGGCCTTGGCGTAGGCATTTTATGAACATTACATATAATTAAACATGGTTGTTTACCAGTGCGCGACGTTTCCATACCAGCAAAAGAGCCAGATGGTAGAGATCATTGTAAAATTAGTATTCGCGTTTTGGAATTCGGCAGATTGAAAACAAAAGCTACATAGGCGAAATTAACACGTAATTCCTTTGTGTTCCAAAGGTTACCCACCAATATCTTGCAGTTAAGTTTCATATGAACCAAAATACCATAACTCGTTTTGTTACATGACATCAGTCTGTTGGAACCCATTTTATCGCAAACCTGGGGTCCTCTGCAGGCGCTAACGCGAGCCAACAGGGCCAATCAGCCTAAGAGGCGCTCGAAGTAACACCCGAGCGTGGGACGGGATTGAAACCTGCCCGCGTTCAGCGTTTGATCCCACGTCCCGCTGTTGTAAATGCCACGGTAACTGGATATGCCTTCCTGCAATTATACTCCCCCAAACAGGGTGACCAGGCACGTCGATGACATTTCCATGCACGTTTTCTGAGGATAATCTTAACTTAGAGAGGACTCAAACAGAATCTTTCCATTAATTCACGTTCTGTAAACTAACAGGAAAATGCGTGTGGCAACTATATGATACCAGCAACACTCATTAACGCCTTTGTTTTTCAGAAATGATGTCTCCTGTCTGAGGAAAATATCCCTCAGCCGTTCGAATCTCATGCGATATTAACGTGGCGCGGTGGAAGCAAGGGTGCGAGCGTGGTGCGAAGCAGGTTGGAAGCCGATACTGGCGCAGGTGGCTGGGTCGTGTGGTCTGGTGACGAATTTCATGCTCACCCGCTGAATATTGAAATTTAAAAAAAAAATCGCCCCTGTCAAAAGGAACTGGCTACTGTAGCACTCGCATATTCAACAGCGCTAGGGAATAAAGTCCTGAACATCGTTCAAAGAAAAAAACTAAATGAACAAGTGTAAATTTGCAGGTGGGATCTGCGAAGTTATTTCCAATTGGACAATTGAGATTTTACCCCAAAGATTTGATGTCTTTGCATGATCATCTGGCACTATGACTCTAATTTAATGATAATGATTAATATTAATGAAATCATAAGTACAACGTTTAGCTGACTGTGACTGACTAAATTACCAGTGGTGTATTAGAGTAAAGGTGAGGGGGAAAGATACCACTTCTGCGAGCATCTATCACTGAAATGTAACATTTTTACGAATAACAGATTGGCAGTATATAGCAACTGAGTAGTCTTTTACAAGTCCACAGCAAATGTTTTCTACCCTACGTTGCCAACTGAGGGGTCAAAATAAATATTTCTCGGCCCAAAAGTTCAGTATGGGTAAACAGAGCAGTGTTTCGCATGCATGTATGCATGTCCTTCCTGCCTTGCCCCGCGTAAAATGCCTGTTTCTTATTTCCCGCCAATGAAGCATGACATAAGGACTTAATCAAGCCACTAGGCAGCGCGCCGTTCGGTGAACTGTTCCCAAAACACTGCTTGCTCATGTATATCGCTCGATTGCATTATTTCCATATTTCTCATTATTTGCAGCGATCCATCAGCGAAGAGTCAGAAGACAGATATTTACATCGTGGTGAGTACTCCCTCGCAATCCGTCAACATACCTACCGGAAAAACATCTTGCAATCAAGGGATCCAGCAAATTCACTTTTTAAGCAAAAGTCGGTCAGTGCATACGTGATTGGGTCGCACGTCTGCTAATCCGATTGACTCATAATCAGGCAAAAATATACCCTGAGGAGTTTACGGGAAAAATCCATGGATTACACCAGCTCTAACGAAGGATGCGCACATGTGACAGCGTTGAAACGTAATTGTAGATTTTTTATTTACTTATTAATATTTTGCTGTGCATATTTAAACATGGCGCTTTCCGCACTCATTAATTATTCACATGTAGAGTCGTTAAGTCCGCGGCTCCAGATGTTACTATCAGTTGATCAGGGGAAGAAAGCGTTTTACACAGAGGGGCAATAGAATCGGAAGGGTGGCACATTTCACATAACGCAGTCAGGCTGCAATGCCAAGGCAGGGAAGTCTTTCTTTACCATTCCTTGTACTTTGAAAGAAAAAAAAAGCAGTCGAAACCAGAGTTCCACGAACATTCTTCCAACAATCTCCGCACAGTGTTTATCACAAAATGACTCCGTCAGAGAAAAATTGACCAGTGCTCCTGTTGTGCATGTTTGATAAACTGTTATCCTATCAGCAACTTCTGCTGTTGAAATTAGCCAGCATACCGAAACAAACTCTAGCTTTTTCCCTATATCTTCCTCCTTTCCAACATCTCTAATGATGCTCAGAATGTTCGTAGATATTCCTAACGGCCCCTCATCAGAGAAAATCCTATATCGTTTAGTTTTTTTCCAAAATTGTTGGAAGTAAAAACGGGTCCGACCCTAGATTAAAGTCCCTGTAAGCAATTACGCGTGTCTAGAATCATTAGGATCATCCTGCACAATATGGTGCATTACACTGCTCGTTAAAGTACCAATAACAAGGCTTTTCTGTGCATAACTGCACAGAACTGCGGTTGTGTCGTAAATCTGGACACAGAAATAGCTGATACGATTAATAGCCTGTGCAGTCATTGTCTACTTTTTTTCCCGTGTGCAACAGTGAAACACAAAGGCATTATGCATTTTGTATAAATGCGCAAATAAAAACGTTGTCGTGTCTATAGGTTCGACTCTCAGAATTACCGACATACAAAATTAGCGGGTCGTGCCCATGAGGACAAGGCCAGAACAAGGCCAGATACTGCCTGTTCGCAGAGGGGTTCCAACCGGGCCTACGCTGACGATCGCACGTAAAGAGGAGATTAGCCAGGTCAGAAGCTCAAGACTAGATACTGACATCAGGACTTGTAAATTTAGAATCGTAAGATATCTCTGTCATTTACAAAATAATCTGGAATCGCAGAGATTTAGCACTTTGTCCCTTTGTTATTCCTTTGCTGTTTCTTGTGATTTGCATAACTGTTGCGTCAGCAAAAATGAATAATTTGAGAATAATTACGCAACTTTCTTATATAAACAAGAGTCTGTTTATGGGTACCTCGACCTTAAAAAAAATTACACCTACTTTTTCCACGAAAAAATACAGTATGTGAAACAAAAACTTTGTTCAACTTTTGATCTCAAATTAGTGGATGCATTTAGGTTGGGTTAGTTGAGAAATGTTGACGCCGTGAGGTAACAACGGCTGCTCAACAAGTACGTCGTGGTCAGGATCAATGATTGGGACTTTTCATTTGAGCTTGAATTTGATTTAAACCAATTTATGTTCTGAGGTAGCAAGTGAGGTGGACCTTCAGTTTCAGTTAGACAGATTGAAGCCTGAACAACGGGTTAGACTGTCTTGTTGCAACCGTCTACTTTCATTTCCGGTAAGACAAGAAACCTTGAAGTTAGGGAAACTATACAAGATAATGAAAGCGTCATTTTTGATTATCATATGTCGCTAATCTTTCAAATGTGAACCGGCCTGAACATCACAACAACCTCCAACTAACTGAGTTCTTTATACAGCCCCTCTCAATCCTTTGGACACGCCCATTATAAAAAGATTGTATCATTTTAGCTCTTTCCAGTGACGTAACCCATAATGACGTTAACTAACCTACCTGTGGACAGCAAGGTGAGACACACCGTTAATATCCACCACCATGCCCGTCCTGCAGACAAATCCATCTTGCCACTGGCACGGGTGGAGTGTAAGCTCCCAACACACCGACGAAAAGTGGAGATTTCCCAACAATTAAAGTTACACGGTGGTCGCTGAAGTTAGCCAGTATTCACACCGATTCCTTCAATTTCCCAGCAACCGCGGGGCATAGTTAACAGCGTGTAGTGCTTATCCAAAGCTGTTTACATCATCCGAAGTGAGTGCTGTACGGGGTGTGTTGAAGCATTACATTTTTCCTTTCAAATGGAACGCCACCGACGGTCGCCGCTGTAGCAATTTCTTGCCTATTTTAATCCGGGCAGCTAGGACGAAACACCGGCCACGTCATTGTCTCAATCATAATACGGCTGGATGAATGCGTCGATTTTTTTTCAAACTCCGAAACCATTCAACGGACAAGAGCATTGGTGTTCGCGGTGCGAATCACTGTTTCGTCAGATAACGCGTACTTCGCGAGACGACACTGCGTTATGGGCCGGCTAAGTTGATTGTGGGCGGGGCTAGAGTGTGATAGACATCACTGTTGGCAGTGGAGATAAAAAGCTTATGTTGAATTAAGCGGGCGTTATTGGAATCGACTGAAAGGGGTCGGCAACCCGAGAGGGACTTTAAACTGAAAACGGCTCAAAAGGTGACAGTAATAGGCTTATCTGTTGTAATTCCTAATTAAAACATATGTAATCCGACGAGAAGTTGATGGGATAACTAGAAGCGAAATCCATCAGTCTTAATGAAACAAATCTGGTAAGAGGATCCACGTCTGCAGACTTCATTCCGTCTTCTCAGTAGCATTTTATCGGGGTAATTAATAGTTTTCTACCCGCACATAATCGCATCGTCTTCTAGTCTCGTGAAACAGAGAGGATTCCTGTAACGGTGGGTGTTATAATTCCCCGAGGAAGATTCAATTGTAATAAGAATAAAGTGACAGCATCCACCCCTTAAAACTCCTCACTAAATTCACGACAGAAGGATTGCAAAGTTCCAATTTGAACCATAGTAATGCTGATCAATATTGGTGTAATATGCAGCTTTAGGGAAACGCCCTCTGCTGGGTGCTTTTCAAGATGTCTGGAAGGCATTTTATTTATTGTTATTATTTTTTGGCTCTTAAACCACCATTAATTTCCAACGACTGCATATTAGTTTAGGTCGATACAAATGAACCATGTAACTGATCACTGTTTACATTTACATGTACATACATGTAGATCGTTTGTATGTGGGCGTGCTGCATTTGCCAATATTTTGACTACTACAAATACATCAACCTTAATCGTTCAAGGGTGCACTGCAGGGGTTAACCGTCGATGTTATCATACCGATCATCATGGAGCACCGGTTACTGATATTTGTGAGAGGACAGACGAGGTCAATCCAGTGTATCTCGGCAACTTGTCCTACCTGTATCAGGCAACGGATGCTCGAGCAACAAACCACTGCCTGCGTAATCGATTCATACCCATGTGTGCGTTTGTTGATACGAAACTGGGGCCTAGTGAGATGTAGCGATGTACATGTACTGTAATCACACAAGCAAAGTGAACTAGATCTCGCACCGACATACCCGGTGTTGATCGGCTGGACACCCGCCCTCTATCAGCAATTTAACGGGCACCGTCACTTTGCAAACTGGCTCCAAGTTTGACACGTCCTTCCCGCCAAAATCGGAACAAGCTTCCTGGACGTGTAAAAAGGTGCCTCTGAATTTTTACAAGATGCTCTTACTGGGGTTTCGATGCGTATTAGTGGACTGATTAGTGATCAAAATAATTATGCCAGAAGTAACCGCGTTGCTTTCCCCCATTTTACTCACCCTTTCGTCTGCTCTGCATTCCCAAACCACTGGTCATCGTGATTCGATCCTGGAGGCCATTCACCTCCAAACAAATCACAGCAACTCCAGTCTCCAGGGGACACCCACACACCTGCACCACTTAACTTCAGTTCGGAAACGCCATCCTCCCCTCCTAACACCTACTTTTGATTGTCAGATATGAGTGTATCCGGTTACAGAAAAGATGAAAGCGGCGCACAGCCGAGCCCCGCCAAACGGGGGGGGGGATGAAATGATCCAGCGGCTCCGAGGCACTCAACCGTGCCCGAATATGATTACCCCGGAAGTGATTAAAAATGCCGTCCAGGCTCGTAGGCTGAATTCAAGGATACATGACTTATTGACTCCTGATTAAGAGAGGACAGGTGAAAAGAGGGCGGTATTTCTAAAAGATGCAATAAACGCTTCATTTAAAAAAAAAGATTCATTTTAACCACCAGGTTCCACTAGAGGGCGCCGTGTATAAGCAGAAAATAAGACATGAAGTCATATTAGACTCCACCTCTCCGTTCTCTTCGAGATTATTCCCATTAAAGTGGGACCAAATGAAGATAACAAAGTTTGAAAACCGAGGTAATTTTAGAAACAATTAAACCGTACCGACGGCTGCATAATTCTTATCACTCTATGGCTTCGCGTTCAGTGAAATGCGGGTAAATATTTCGCCAGGGTGGAATCGAGCCCGGATCCGTGTCCAGCAATTATCATCCATCACGAGTGAAAGCTTTACGGTTCCCCTCATCGAGCCGTGTCAAAAAGCAATTACTTTCACTTCCTTGTTCCTCTCAAGTTCCTGATTTATTGCGCACATAGGTAAAGCACTTGACGCGAAACGCTATAATGTGCGTACCCTTTGCTCTAATCTTCGGCGCAACGACATACAGAAGGCGCCGCACTTTCCGTTTCACTGCACGCAACAGTAAAAATACTAGTGTAATTTATGAGATCTTGTAGAAAACCCCACAATATTAAAGACGCCTAATACTTTGCTGAAACATGGGTGCCGGAAAAACCAGCCATTTTTATTAATACAACTGACTGAAAACAGCCGTACAAAATGGAATATACTGACAAGGTACTGGTAAATAGCGTAAAACATCACGTTTATAGTTATGTGTCCGTCAGCTACAATGACAACAACTTTTCATCAATGGAAATTAAAATCAGAAAGTCAATTTGTAACAAGGGACTTATAGTGTCAAAGTCAAGTCACTTAAGATGTCTTAGATTAAGGGACAGAAACATGCAAGACGTTACATGCTTGTCATTACGTATTTCACAAATTCATGTAATGGCGTGGCCAGGCCCAGGAGCCCAAGCACATTTTCCAAGGAGGAAAACTTTCCGGGACGGGCAAGGCGCTCGTCAACAATGAATTGACACATCATTAACAGTAAAAGGGGGTCGGCTCAATAGTGATTTTTATTCCATTTTGGGGGGGGGGGTTAAGTACCCCTTTGCCCCTCCCCCAATGCCTACTATTTCTTGATGCTCTAGGACGGGTAAGAAGGTTTTGTAATTTCTGTTCAAGTTTCAAGTTTCTCCTTATCAAAAAACATCAAATACTAATGAGAATTATCCACATATTCTGTGTTCAAAACTTAAAGAAACTATTTGACTTAATAAACTTTGGCAAAGAATATCGATCCGGTCGATTCTAACTCTAGGGGCCTTTGAATTAAAAACCAAAACATTTTTATGTACAGTGTGTGCTGTAAATTGCACCCCAGTCAAAAATGATAGTGAATCACAAAAAAATATACAGCTCCTTAATTATGCACGGATTAAAGCAAAACAATCAATCATCGAACAATGAAAACAACAAAATAGAGTATAAATCTTTTTTTTTACTAAACGAAAATTAATGTGGACAGCCAATCAAGAACAGTCAATTTACAGGTAACAGATAGCTCCATCTGTTGGCCTTAGGAAGTCATTCCATGCGCCCTCTTCCGATATCAGCGGGACAGGTTCAAATGAGCCTTCGATGAGCCACCACTGTGGCTTAGTGATCAATGAAAGCCGTAGGTACTCAGAGACAAGTACTTCTTCGCACAAATAGGTGCCACAATTATGCAGAGACATACATATTCTCCTATGGATGGTCACTCTTTTGGCTGTATACAATGGCTCTGCATCCCACGAAGACAAAGTAAACAGAAAAATGAAAGAACAGGACGCCTCACGTTAACACTTCAAAGCTAAAATGTGTCCATCCTTTTATCATCCCAAGACCAACATAAAGCACGGCGTGTGATGAACACAATGATGAACAGTTGCTCCAAGCAATGGAAATGATCAAATGAATAGAAGTAAGAAATGAATTTTAAAAAAATCTTGACCTGCAAGGTATTGATATATCTTGGTCGAAATGTGTATATCCCCACAATGGGAATCATTTTGCGCAAGCGTAGTCTACTCGCATGATCCAAACGAGTTAAAGAAGGAATCAAACTGTTGTTAAAAAGACTGACAAATATTTACACGCGGGGTAAACGGACTCTTTCAACTTTCATGTTATCCCGGACAGAGCCGCGCCCTCTACAGTCTCACCAAGGGAATCTTATGTCCATTTTGGGCGACCTGTTCTTGACACGGATTTCTTGTTCTCGCCCTCGAACGGCGGAAAGAAACTTAGACTCTAGAACACTGTGCTCGGAACAGGATCGCACACCACCTCCTCGTCAGGGTTTACTGGAACACTCGGAATTTTGAGTTTTGTACAGCCGTAAGAGACAACGAGATGGCTTACAAAGCCGGAGACAATGGTGAGTCTTGCAAAATGAGCAATATTAATTTTCCACAACACAAAATGAATGTTCCTTTTTAAATAGAAAAGAGTTCAGCCCAGTTATCCAAGCAACCCTACAAGAACGTAATGGACGCCGCCATTTTTCTTGTAGTACCACTACCAGCGATAACCAGTTTTACTTTCCCGGTGTACGAGCTGCCAACCCACGAATAACAATATCGAGCAGTTTATGAACATACGAGAACAAGCAGCCCGAACTCAGCCTTAATGCCCTGAAACCCGAGAGGGCGCTCTCTTTATAAGCTAATTACAACGGATGCATATTAAAAAGAATCGTTGCCGATTTGTCGCTTCTCCGAAAACAATAAGGCTGTGTTATTATTGGAATTGTAATTACAACTTGATCGGAATTTGGTCGTTTATAACACAATGAGGTGGTGTCATATATTGCATCAATTTCTGCAAGTTTTGCTCGAGAAAAATTAATCTTCGATGAGATTAGTTTCTGTGGTACTTCAAACAAACTGTGGTGTGATTCAATGTTAAATGTGGCACATACTGAATGTGGAAAATTTCACATTTGACAACTTTTCAACAAAAAATTCATTTGCAAAATAGTCGACGTTGTTGTTGTCATTAAACATTAGAATTCAATAAACCACATAAGTTTTCAAATTTTTCTAATCATGTTTCTGGAAGACGATTTTGTTATCACGTGATACAGATGAGACTTGATCAACTCACAAGGCAACGGCAGTTTCATGTTATGTGGCCAATTATGATGAAAAGAGTCGCCAGCATGCCAATCACGTACAGCACCATGAAGATGCGGTCAATCACCAGGGCGACTTGCTTCCACTCGGCCCTCATCGTCTCCTCCCTCTCCCTCGCTTCGAACGTCTCGCGGATGCATTTGAACTCGTCCAAGATCTGCCGCAGCATTGTCATTTGCTGCGAGCTGTCCTCAGGATATGAAGGAATGGCAGGCGTGGAGACCGCCCTCATGTGTTGACCTAAGGGGCAGCGCCGCTTACGCGTTTCTCTCTCGTTCCCAGAGGACGAGCTGTTACCGTCCACGCTGACGGTAGTCCCGACGACGTGATCGTTCTCAAAGGTGCCCTTCAGCTCCACGTTTGCAAAGAGCTTTCTCAGGGGTCTCTTATGGCGTCGCTTGCCCGCGCAGCCGTTATTGTTCTTGGAGTCGAGCTTTTGGTTCAGGGTCGCCAGCTTTCTCATCAAAATCAATCTGCCAAACTTGCTAAATATGAGCCTGCGTAGCCACTGCGGAACTGGTTGTGGTGCAGGTCCCATATGGTGAAGATTTAGAACTACGACAGACATAGCTAATGACAACGACACCATGACCATGGTAGAGGCATAGTAGATAGCTGTCAAACAAAAAGTACAATGGATTATCAGTCCAAAGCAAATGAGACTTGGGTTCATCATACCGTGCATCTGTACCTAACTCCTGCAATGCCTGACAGGGCAAGAGGAAGGTTTGTCGCTGGATTAGTTTGCCACGTTGGTTTTAATATTTTGTAAGAATACCTATGAAAAAAATCCCTTTATCTGGATTATGCACAGGTCTTCACTTGACTACCCGTTAATCTGGCATGCTTATAACCTCTGGGCAGCAAGCCCCAGAAACTGGGCTTCTCCTCTTATTTGGGAAAAAAATGAGCCTTTGATATTTGCTTACCAATGATAGGCACCGCACCGGAAGGCGGTAGCAGCTCGGCCACCAGCAGCAGGAACACGGTCAGCGACAGCAGCACGGTGATGCTCAGGCTGACCTTCTCCCCAGACTCGGCCGGCAGGAAGAAGCTGAGCAGCGTGGTGCAGGCGATCAGGACGCAGGGCATGATCAGGTAGAAGACGAAGTAGGTTGGGATCCGCCGCAGCTCCACCGAGTACGTCACAAAGGTGAACATTACCTCCGGGTCGTCCGGGTAGATCTGATAGCCCTCCACGCCATTGGAGGCGTTGAAGTGCATCAGTGACCACTCGCCTGAGCTGCGGAGGTAGCGATCGGCAGAACCTAGGCAGAGGCCAACAAGATCCATCGTCGTTGAAAAAGTGGAACCATGTATGAGCTTTCTTGAGTGACTTTTGAACTCTCTGAAATAAGCATTAAATTTATACTGTCAGTCTCTCTGTACAGGACTGTAGACATTGAAACGCCTGTAAAGCTTAGCATTCAGGCAAAATTGATCGAAGTTGAATTTTCGTTTAACACAAATTCGTAACCCTGTATACAGTGGCATAGCTAGGATTTTACTAGTGGAGGGGGCACAAGGGGGCACCAGCATCTTACGAGGGTACCTGCTTTCATTGGTGTGTTTTGGGGAGGCAAGCTTTTCATAGCCTTGTTCAATATCCATTCAATATTGAAAAGTCTGATTGCGTAAATTTAAGGACCCCCCCCCGCGGCTACACTCCTGCGTGTATACCTTCTGAAGTCTTCGACAAACGGTTTATTAAAAAAAAGCTGCGTGAGTATTCCAGTGTGATCCACATAGAGTCAATTAAATTCAAACCCTGGATACACGAACACTACAACGCAATTTTTACCGGTTCCCTCGAGAATAATTTCATCGGCTCCGTGCTGCCAGGGACCGAACTGGACTGAACATGTCTGCCTGTCGAACGGAAAGTTAGTGACATCCATTTGGCAGTGTGTCTTGATGATTGAGGGCGACTGCCACACCACGGTGCCATCGTAGTACACGCTGCAGATGGAGTTCTTGGCGTAGTCTTCATAACGACTGCCTGCGCTACACGTCAGGATGTGAAAACGCAAGCCGTATACATAAAGTATTATCTGATTAGCTGGAAATTGCCTCATTTGTTGCATTCCTTAAGGAAGAACCAATGAAACTCTATCTTTGCAGTCTTCTCAGGTTATGTGGGAGACTAACTGTGAAGTTCTGAGTAGGATTGATTTAGTTTTTAGAGTCTAGCATAGACTGGAAGAGATCATTACAGAAGGCATTTATTTCGTTTTCAACCTTTGAGGAAGTGTGGAAAGTACAAAAACAGAAGAAGTACATTTTCTTAGCGATCGGCCCTTTGGTACCGTGTGTCTAATTGTTTGACTGATGGGAGAATTGTAACTCATTGTCTTACTTATTGTACAACCACAAATCTGGCATCCACAATTTCTCCTTGGATATCTTGAAATTCCTGAGGCCATTGTAGTTGCTTGGGTTCCAGACCAGGTATTCGTCTTTCCATCTCTGAAAGAGTCAAGAAAGGTTTTCAGCATCTCCGCCGAAGTATCTTACATACAAATCTCAGGCTAACAGGACTGAAGCACGGAGGTCAGGAATTTTAGAATTTAACTTACTACAAATACGCAAAATTTCGGTTGCATTCATAGGTTTCTGTCGTGTTACAATTTACACGGACATGCACATACCATTGTTAGCCAGGCGTTTATTTTAAAGGTTTCCAACCGTTCGTCCTGTGGAGAAAGCAAGAATTATGTCACTATCTACGAATGCAAATGACGCCTTGCACAGAGCAAAACCAGCCGGTATCTTTGCACATTATGGTACTCCAAAGGTATTACTTATAGGTAGCACAATAAAGTAGACTAGGTACCAACATTGTTATTCGTTTGTACCGGAGTTGTTTCCAAGGGAAGTAGCTGAGATTTTCATTAAGCTTGCACAATAATTGCACTTGTATCTTCACTAGGGATAAACTCATTAGCAAGACGCTGTCCAGATTGGTAATGTAGCCGAGTAGCGGCCTCAAGCGTCCACTCACCACATCAAGCACTTGGGCCACAAAGAACTGCATCTCGACGACGGTGGGGTGACTGTCATTCTTGACCGGGCGGATCGACGTGTCATAGACGCTGCTGTTGTAGAGAAGATCGTGGCGGAGTTGCCGATGTGGCTCAGAGGCAAATAACCCTGAGAACAGATACAGACAGCTTTATTACATCTGCATGTATGCTCATTTACTTTTAGATTGGCTCTTACCTCAACCCACTAATATGCCACTGAACTTGAAGTTAGATTTTTATAGCAATTTCGGAACAAATACGTCCAAAGCTAGCATTGAGTTGAGTCATATCGATTAAAAGGTGTTCCGTTTTCCCCGAAATACGAAGATAGCCATAGGACTAAGCGCATAGCCTGGAAATCACATGTATTGCCGAATTCCGGGTCAACAATGACCCTGATATGTTCATTAATTCCGATTACTCATTTAACAGTCTTAGTGGTTGATTGATACAAACTATTTTGCTAAACAGGAAATGCGGTGAAAGTCTAAAGACAAGGTAAGCATTTGATAAAACAACCTCTCTATCCACCAAAGAGAGACAACCTGCAGCATTTGAAATGCTAAACCCGCAAATATGCTGGTCATAATTTTCCAACAGTTTATGATCAGGCCTTGGATGAATAGGCACTTTTAATTTGGGTAATGTATCTAGTGAGACATATTGAAATTACATTTGACCAGCATTGATCGTTATCTGCAACGCTTCCGCAGCGTGGGATCATCTGCAGCCCGAGTGTCAGAGGCATATGTGTCCGATAGATGGTTACACAACCCGAAAAGTGGGTAGAAGGCTACGCGGACCGAGGAGTCCGTCGGGCAGCCGAGTAGGGCCGTCAGAACACCGAAGCCTTGACCCACCGTCCATCCAGGTTCGATATCGACGTTGACCAACCTCGCACGTGCTGTGGAAAGATTGCGATGATTTTTTTTTTCGACAGGTGTGGAAAAATACATAGTTTTTCTGCATTGATAGCGTGTTCGGTTGACCTGTTGAGACTCTGCAGCTGTTCTTTTTTTTTCTATTCAAACGCAAATATTTCGGAGTCACTGTGGTAATATTTTAAAAAAAATTCTGCTTAATATATAGCGAATTAATGGAGCTCCGGGCTTAAAGGCAAATAGTGATAAGTATTAGAAAGTTTGTCAATAATGCTGCCGGCGCGAAGGTCACGGGAGGATCAAAAATGAACAAATTTGATTCAGAAATTGCAGAATATGTTCATTCTTGGTCGAAACACATACTACCTCTACAAAAACAAAAATCAGAAAGAGGACGTTAAGTTCCTTTCAGGGCTTCCAAGGAAGCAGATGAACGGATCGTGTCAAGTAGCCATACTCTTATCTGGTAATGGCAGTTAGCTGTGCCTGCAAACAGACGTGATCGGGTTTTTTTTGGTAATTCGGTCTAAAGATGGATGAAGCTATATCTCCTCGATTCCAAGAGCTTTCCATGAAAATTCTGTTTTGGCCTTTTGTCATTTCAAGATGCAATTGCTTCATCTTTCATGTATCAGAGAGCAACTATCCATCAGTTTTTAATAACCGTCTTTGCATGGATGAAAAGAACTACGTGCATCAGCTAAGTGCTCAATTTGTCTTGTAGCATAACAAACATGCAAATGTCTGTGTTTTAACCACGATGATTTAAGATCTTGAAAAAGCCATTCATTGTTACGGTATCTAAGACTGGACGCAGCTACCAATAAAATCGGCAACAGTTGAAGAAAATCTGATGGCTATAGAAATTTTACATCATGCTACATTATTTAAAACTACTGTACATAGAAAAGTGACAATACGACTCTTGTTGATTTGGATAGTTGTCAGCCTTACTGAACTAGCACCCAAATTCTCAGCACGTTCTGGCGGTATCCGTTTGGGGCGATGTAGCAAGTTCCGGCTGAAATTCGAGTATTTTAAGAAGTCAGCATTACATTAGGTGTCGTCTTGTTTGCTCACAGGTAGGCGTAACGAGAATCGGCCGTCTAAGGTTACAATTTCACTGGTACTTTAGGTATTGATGGCTACTTTATAGCAACAGGTCACGTGAGTGAACTTTCACGCGAAAACGCATCAGAGCCCTTCCACAACAAACATTATAAGATATAGCTTCAAGCCATATTCCAGGCGACATTCATGCCAATCTATATTCTTAAAAATAGTAAACCGATTAAAGATAATATTACAGCGAAAAGGGGGCGAATTCTCAAAAACAGAAATATTATCTTATTGTGCCAATTAATTCATTTGAATCCACGTCTAAACTGCCTGTAACTTCAGCTACACACGTTTTGTTTTAGCATAAGTTGAAGGCATTGGAAACCCATTTAACCCCATTTGCAATTATTGACGACAGGAGCATGAAGCTAAAAGCCTTGAACGCTTGGTGGCAGCAAACAGCTCTTTCTGAGCAGGCGAACTTAATGCCTTAATTGCAAATTACCTGGAAATAAAGTACCAGTTACGGTTGAATTCACTACAACAGAATATACACTCATCATGGAGATGCTATCGCTGTTGTGCGGCGGCAGGGCGGGCGCATTCAGCTGATGACTTGCCGGCGGGGCTGCGCATTCACTCATGGTAAATTCGCATCGGATTGCTCAGCACAAGTTGACGATCCGGTGTCATTGCTTTCCCTTTGGGGGCACAACAGCTAAAAACCTAGTCGTGATCACACGACAGCTTGGACTTGTAAGTCGTGAAATCCAGACACCGGGTTCCAAATTAATTTCAGATGCTTGTGGTGCGTGAAAGGTATAAGGGTAAAAGTTGTCAGCAAAAACAACGAGGTTAAATATTCCTCACTGATGAAAGTTGGAAATTTAAAGAATTTCAAATCGCGCACGTCTGCCATGACCAAGCGGGGGACAGGACTTTCCGAATGGCAATGGGAGGTTTTTGTGTAGATTGGGTGATTCTTTGGGCTTTGTATCGTCAGATTGAAGATGGTTACTAGTCTCTGCCTGGGGCCATTTTAGTACTGATATGCTCGGCTGGGGTCTGGTATCAGTTGCTGGATGTTTGAACCCAGCCTGGTTTTCAGACTGATTCTATCAAAGGCTTGACATGTTCCTTCGAACCAAGAACATTCACAACCAGTTGAACTCTGTGACTGTTCCCCTCTCTTTTTCAACTCACTGCAAAAAGAGGTTGAAGATTTTTTCTAAACCTGTTTGAGTATTCTCCTTTTTTGACATTATTTTGTAACGGTTATCGCCCCGTACCCTCTGTATGGACTATTTTCTGTTTCATTTGTTTTGTGATGTTCTCTTTAAATGACACACAATAGTCTCACCTTTTGTTAACCCTTGTCACGTTCAGGCAATCCGCGACATTGATTCCTACCACTTGCAGAAGTGGTATTGTTCTCGTCTATTGTTACAAACTCAAGCAAGCATTGTGCATTGCCCGTTTTCAAACACCGTTCGAGGCCGGGACATTAGCTATAGAGTACGGGTCCTCCCCTATTGATTTGTGCTATAACTGTTTTTATTTTGATAAAGGCAGACGTGAGCATATACAAACTCAATGACCATGGAACATAAATGTATTCCAAAGTAAGCTAGAATATGTTCATGCTCCAGTTAAATTTATCTGTTATGCGAACAGCCATGTGTGTGGTGATGCTGCCATGAACTTGGAACACACAATTACCATCATGAACCATATTTTGTCTATATCTCTCAGAAACGAGAATGTCATTCAGATTAGTGGCCTGAATCTATTTATAGCTCTTTACACACTCTGACCAATAAATGTAATTTCATATCTTCATTCTCTTCACATCAAGCTCTAAATTAATTTGTATTAGTAGGAAATGTTTTGCGTTTTGTTCAGGGCTGCCGGCTGTCAGATGTCAAATTTAACGAAATCAAAAAAGTGCTGCACTCCACCCTGGCCTCGTTTACAAAAGTCAATCTCGTAATGTCGTTGGCCATTCTATTATAGACGCCAGGTCATTTTATTTCTTACCTCGTGGTGCATGAAGTGATGAAGATCTCTTTCGATATCGCGCCATCTCCCCATTTCCAAATAGACAAGCTGTGATTGTCAAGTGACCTGACCACTACGTATCACCATCATGCCTTGTCAACAACGATCGTAAAGTAGGGCAGCAAAACATTGTGGACCAAGGTCCCCAAATGTCTTCCTACGGAGTTGTATTTTGTCTTCTTGCGGATTTGACATGTATTTGGAATCTAAATCAACCAAACACCAAAAAAAAACTAACAAATGAACACTTGTACTTTCCTGGTAAAAAGACCGAAATGAACGTTGCGCTCTCATATTAAATTGATGTTTCCTTGAATATTTACACCTTTGTACCTGTATTTGGCTCGAAGAAGAAAGCGTTGCTATCATCGCGTATGTAAATTTGGACGTACTAACTGTGAACATTCGGTGTCCAGGTAAATCGATGCCGCAGGCAGGTAGGCCTGCTACAGCTTCATCACGAGCAGACGACACATAAAGCTCCTACAATAATAATGCGTACTTATGCAATAAAACACAGCTACTTTTGATTTTTATTCGTCGGGTACGTCACAATGTTTGAAAAGAATTAGGACTTAAAAGTGCACCAGACTTGGAGTTGAGTAACCATTTTTCAAAGGTTCCTAGCATCTCGAGGCTTTTATGGGGCGTCCCCGAGCAATCATTCATCAGTCTGTGTCATTTGCTCCTCTTAAAAACTCTGTCAATGGAGATCCCCCCCCCTGTTCTTGTCGAGATTCAGAAAGAGATCCGATGGGAGATGGAGCTGCCAGATGCACGCACTGCGCGCCGGACGCATCGTCAAGAATCTTCGTTGGTTTCTGGGCATCCTCTCGCACTTTAATGTCGTAATTGAGTTGGACCACGCTTCAGTTTGTATGTCGGAAATGTCAGGGAGGGAACTGTTCTATTTTGCCGCACTGCGACCTCATCGAGGAAGGACAAAAATGGTGGAAAACAGGAGAGGCAATTAGTTGGCCCACCATAAGATCTGTGACACTGAAAATCGCTGTCTGCTTGTATAGACGTCTGTAGGCTGAGTAGGCCTTTAGGTAAAGAAAATCCATCAACCAAGAAGAATGGTTACAGCACTAACGACTAATAAAGGGTGTAATTAAACTCCAGGATT